AGCTTGTTAAACAGATTGTTGAGCCCCACCCTAGAGTTTCTGAGTCTGGCGATCTGGGGTGGGGCCCAAGAATTAGCATTTGTAAAACTTTTCCTGGTGAAGCTAATGCTTCTGGCTCAGGGACCTCACTTCAAGTATCACTGGTATAGTGATATGGCTTGATCAAATGTTCTTTAGTATGTTTTCATGATATTGATAGAATTATAAATTAGATGTGAATTTCCACTTGCTTTATGAGTTTAGTTTAGAGTATATGGAGGAAAAAAGCATAAAGAAGAAAAAATCTGAAAAATAAAAGTAACCGAGGTTATTTCACACAAAATATATTCCATCACCAACAAAACTTGAAAAACTCTATACATCACATCACCCATTTAGAAGATCATAGTGTATATTAGCTTATGAAAAGCTATAATTATGTCAGTAAAGCTACTTCTCAAATTATATTTAACCAAGTATTTCTTAAACTCATTTGGAGACAAAAAACTTCTCGTTTCTAGGTATAACATTCTGGTGTTATTCAAGACATACTTTGAGAACTGTTGTTGTAAAGTTATCTTTTTTAGAAAGGTCAGATATCCCTGGGGGGTCTGCCAGAATCATAGAAGCTTGGTCTCTGTTCCACTGCATCAAAATCATATGGAGGAGTGATTTACTTTGTCTAGAATCGGAGTCTGGTTTTCTCTAGTGTGGCTCTTGGAACATTGTAATTAGTTCTGAGCAAAATTATGCCACAGTTAAAATTTACTTAAGGACTGAGATTCAGAAACCAGGATAAGGGATAACCAAAGGTATTTCAGAGATCACTTATTTCTATTCTAAGTATGTGTATCATCAAACACCTGATAATTTGATAAAAACTTTTCACTGAATTGATGTCAGACTAAACTGTTCAGTTTGTAAATTTCACCATTCATTTTTTTTAATCAAAACAATGTTTTTTCATATCTAATATTCTGAAACATTTCTCAGTCTAAAGTTTCCCAACAGCAGTTAAGCAAGCTCAACTTTAAGATCTGTCAGAAGGCTGGAATGGAGTTCTGCTAGATCAAGTGACCTGGACTCATTTAGTAAAACATAGGTGCTTTCATACAATATCTCATTATCTTGGGCTTCAGCTCTCTCTGACCAACAATTATTGACTCTTTCCATATAAACATACTTCTTCTTGATCATAGAGAAGACAGAAGTAAAAAGACTTGAGTAACTTCACTTTAACTCTCTACTCTTTGCCATTACACCATGAGCCTCAACAGTGGGCCGGGGCTTGAGATAAACCTGGGCGTCATTCCCATAAAACAGGAGGTGGAGTACCGGATTAGTTATACATGTAAAAACACTACTGCTGATGCTGATGAAATTCATTTGGTGTTAAAGTTATAATTACTTACATTGTTTAATATTCTAAGATAGTTCTGTACATCCATTTTGGTAAATTAATTAGTGATCTATTTTACCTCAATGGTTTTAGGTAACTAAGCTTTTCAAAAACTAGGCCCATTCATATTTGCTTTTCAAACCCTACTATTTTACAAATATCACGCACGTCATCTGTGAGTAATATATTTAAAAGCTTATACATGGATAGTGCATTATAATTAGCAGACAGTTTCTCATTTGATTCTAAAAACAGTTTTATGAGGTAGGTAAAATCAAGACTTTTTCAGATGATCTTCAAAACATCTCAGTCAAATATAATCAGTTTTTTTTAATTACCAATAATGTATACAGCAAACATTCCTGATCCTTAGCCCACCCCTTACTCCTACCATCAATATGGGAAGTTTCATTTTCTACTTTATACATCTCTTTAGTTATTTGAATATTTTAAAATAAAGATTTATTTATTTATTTGGGAAAGAGAGAGAAAATGAGCGGGGGAAGGGGCAGAGAGAGAAGGAGAGGGAGAGAAGCAGACACTGTGCTGAGTGCAGAGCCCAACATGGCGCTCAGTCTCACCATCCTGAGACCATGCCTGAGCCAAAGTCAAGAGCAAGACACTTAACCGACTAAGCCACCCAGGTGCCCAAATTATCTGAATTCTTTTTTTTTTTTTTTTATTCATGAGAGACAGAGAGAGAGAGAAAGGCAGAGGGAGAAGCAGGCTCCCAAGGAGCAGGGAGCCCGATGCGGGACTCGATCCCAGGACCCTTAGATCATGACCTGAGCCGAAGGCAGACGCTTAACCATCTGAGCCACCCAGGTGCCCAATTATCTGAATTCTTAAAGAATGAATTATTTTTATAATCAGGAACAAAATTTTTTTAAAAAAAAACTGTTAGAACTGAATTAGTTTCTAAGGGGAAATCAAATCTATCATATAAATGAGTTTTTTTCAGTACTAAACATAAAATATCTATATTATGGAGTAAAACAAAATAACTGCCAGAAATATAATTTAGGATTCTGTGAATAAGTCTGGAGCTGAGAATAAGGAATCAACTCTATTTTATCCACCAACGTTAGAAGGGTAGCATAATCATGAAGCTTGCAGAATGCAGTGTCAATCCCTTGGGTTTTCAAGTAGAAAACAGGCAAATACCATTATTAAACAGTCAAATATATTTATATGCATTTATTAATAAAAGTAGGTGAGAATATCATTTGCATTAAGGAGAAATAAAACAATTGGAGATTCAGATCATTGAAAGCACAAATGAATTTTCAGAAAAGGAGCAGAAACTTTGGTAAGAATATTGATAAACCTCTCCAAGATGAACCAGGGTGGTCAACATCTATTTCATAGTTAGATGTGGTTTGTCTGCCAGATAGTGCCTAATTTCATTTCTTATATACTATCCCTGAGCTTTAAGCTCTCTCTCTTGCTCTCTCATACCCAGGGATGGGGAAAAATAATGGACGAGGCTCAAGGATTTCACACATTAATTTTTGCCCAAGTGCATAAAGGTGGTTGCCTCAAAATGCCATATATCCAAGAAATGTGGAAGGCAGGTATAGTCACCAATTTATGGATGAAGGAATTTTTATTGTTCATCTCCATTTCTATTTAGTAGGCCATCTCTTGGCTACAGATATTAACAGTACTATGTGCATGTATTTGTGTGCTTGTGTGTATTTTAAATCCAGATTTCAACAATCAGAGCTGACTAGATGACCTCACTTACCCATTCCCTGTTCACACATAAAGCTTATCCAAAATGATACTGCTAAGGATATTAACAGGTTGTTTGGCAGGCTATTTGGCAGGTAACATGTTTCTAACTAAATTTTCATTGATTCTTGAGGAATAGCATTAAAATGAACAAGAATTAGATTTGAAGCATACAGCACACAATGTAAATATACAGTAATTTATTTTTAATAATTTAAAAGAGTTATCAAGGTTGATTTTCAGCATTTTGCTCACTTCTCCCCCATAAAAAAATATCCAAAGATTCCTTTTAAAAGTCACTTAACAAGCCAGCAGTTCAAAACTGTATTTTGATTTCCCACCTAGAAGATTTATTACATGGCCAGATGCAGAACACAATTTTAAAATTTATATAGCAAAATAATACAGTAATTAAGAGCTTAGCCTCAAAAATGAGTTGCCCTATATTAAAATCCTAGACCCACCATTTACTAGTTGTTTAACTTTGGGAAATGTCTGTGGCTCTCTATGTCTGTGCCTCCGTTCCTTTCCTATCCACCCTCACAAGTTGTGAGGATGACAGCTAATCCATGTAAAGCTCCTCACACAGTACCTGGTCATAGTAAGTTACCAGTAAATCACTATTCTTTGTTCACTTAGCAGATAACAGCCTGGCTAGCCAGCTCAATGATACTCTCCTCCTCTCCAGAATGGTGATGGTGTGCTAGATTCAATGGTGTATATACACATTAGGAAGACACCCCTTTTCTGAAGACATACTTGATGAGTATTCTATAGGTCAGTGATGCTGAAGTATCCTGCAGGGCAAAATTTGATGGGTAAGTAGGCATTATGACTGTAATTTCAAGTAGTAATAAATATAAGTGCTGAACATGTTTAAATCTCATTTCATAAAGTAAGGCACCTTTCAGGACTTGCAACTCCCTTACAACAAGATACTAAAAAAAAAAAAAATCAAACTCATTATTTCTTAGGGCACACATAAAGTACCCTGCAAAACAAGGGGTGCCTGGGTGGCTCAGTCCATAAGCGTCTGCCTTTGGCTCAGGTCATGATCCCAGGGTCCTGGGATTGAGCCCCACATCGGGCTCCCTGCTCAGCCAGAAGCCTGTTTCTCCCTCTCCCACTCCCCCTGCTTGTGTTCCGTCTATCGCTGTCTCTCTGTCAAATAAATAAATAAAATCTTTTTAAAAATTTTTAAAAATGCAAAACAATAAATATAAATGCTGAACCGCAAAGCATTTGTGGAATGGTAGGATCTTTTTTGACCAATCTCCCATTTATAGACAACAATTCAATCATTTAGACAATCTACTTCAATATATGTTAGAAAGTCATATGAGGCCTGGAGCAAGATACACAGGTCCATAAATTAGAGTTGCTAGAAGGAGACCCCATAGCAATCTTCCTTAACTGAAATTACCAGCTGGGCTTTGCAAAGAATGCAAATTTATCTGTGAAAATTGGTGTGTCCCTAGGCTAATACCTTGTATTTTGGTCTGGGACTCCGGAATGATAATACCCATGCCTGTAATTCTCTTTGGTAAGCTTAAGAACCATGGGAAAGTCATTTTCATGTGACGTTTGTGACTTTTTCTCTAGTAAGTTTAGGCATGAGCATGTCTTTGTTTGTCTATTTACAGTTAAATGAATTTCCAAGACTGTGGACTTGGAAGCTCTGGCTTCAGCCTTAAAATTCCTAATTTCTGTTCTTTCCAGACTCCCTTACCTACTTGAATGCAGCTTTGTATCTCTGTAGCAAAGCAGGGCCTTTCCTGGCAGGTAAACCTGCCAGGTGAATCCACCCCTGAGGGGCGTGTCAGTACCATTTCCTGGAGCAATCTCACAGGGTGGCTCTACTTTTCATTTGCGCTCAAATAACTTTGCTTCCTCCTCTGCAGCTGCCAGACCAGTTCCTGCTGCTGCTCAGGTAACCCTAACCTCTCCAGGGCACCACTACAGGCAGAGGGGGTTGATAAATGACTTCTACGTGTGCCTGCTTGCCTTCCTTCTTACCCTTATTCATGAGCGTTCTCTCTCTCTGTTTGTTCCATAGGGAGAGCATCTGGGAAGTACCTTGCTGACCACTGAGAACATCATGAGCTCAAGCTATTGGAGTGAGATGAGCAGCAGCATCTGTGGAACTCCACAGCCCCCAGAGGTGCTACAGTGCCAGCCCCAGCATTGCCACTGCTACCATCAGTCAAGCCAAACCCAGCACCCACCAGAAAAAAATGTAGTGTACGAGAGAGTGAGGACCTACAGTGGGCCCATGAACAAGGTGGTTCAGGCCTTGGACCCCATCACCTCACAGGAAGTGCTCTCTCCTCTCAAAACTGCCTCCTCCTACCAAAATTTGGTTTGGAGCAACCATTCTCAGGTACCATAAAGATAACTATGTGTGATTTGTAGAGAGGGGATATTTTCAACCTCATTTCTTTTCTTTCTGCTTCTCTGCCTCTGTTCTACAGGATGTTATCTTTTGGTGGATTGCAGCTATATAAGCAATGTACGGTTACCCAAATTCCATCTCTTGCTGTTCTTTCATTTACTAGTGCCTGTGGTTGTTTAACAGCTCCAGTGAGTTTTATAATCTAACTAGAGCATAGGATGACTCATTTTTTGTTGGATTTGATTGAAATATCTGATCTGGGGTATTCCTTTGCCCTTACCGTAAAGCAATCCTCAACTTGAATACAATAATTTTTATAGAATAGGGTCCCACTGAATCACTTTATTTCAGAAGTAAACAGATTTTTTATGTCAAATATGGTAGTTCAGAGACAATGAGTTACATAGAGTGATGAGCAGTTGTATTCAGCAAATAGTATGCTGCTCCTAGATAAGTCACATGCACAAATATCTGTTCAAATTGTCATATGTGTTTCATCTTCCAAAAATGACACATTGGTTCTTAATACAGCCAAAGTGAATAATTTATGAATATTGGTAGAAAGAGGATCGAAAGAGTGGATATAGGATTGAGGAAGGCAAGATGTAAGCAACTGTTATATAAAAGCTTAAAAAAGCAGAACTCTAAGACATCCTTTAAAATGAAATAAAATTGTTTTTAAGGGGTTATTTTAGTATCATTATCTGTTCTAATAATCTTGCCAATGAATGTAAAGGAACATTGCAAGACTATAAAAGCTCTGCCTGTTTTCATTCTTTGAATCCCTTTACATTTATAGACATAATGTAAATTTGCATGACTTTGAGCTTTCTGGAAACATCTGTCCAAACTAAAATTATGTTTTCAAGATAAAATTTATCCTGTAAAGAGTTCAAAAAGCAACCATTGGGATGATATTATCTGATGTTCATTATTTTACCGATCTGGAATAATATGGGTTATTTTTCCCAAAACCACAATTTAAAATAGGATATGAAGCAAAATTCTAAAGTATATAATAAAACTATTTTTGAAAGAATTTTTATTTTTTTATTTTGATTTTTTTAAAGATTTTTTATTAATTTGACACACAGAGAGAGAGCACAAGCAGGGTGAGCGGCAGGCAGAGGCAAAGGGAGAAGCAGGCTCCCCAGCAGAGCAGGGAACCCGATGTGGCATTCCATCCCAGGACCCTGGGATCATGACCCAAGCCAAAGGCAGTTGCTTAACCAACTCAGCCACCCAGGCGCCCCTAAAAGAATTTTTAAAGACATAGATAACACAATTACAAAGGCCACAATTTTACTGATATTTCATGCTTAGCTTGAGGGAAAAAATATTAAGAAAAAATCCAGGATTTACTTCAGTAATTTCCTAGTTGAGAAAAACTCCACCTGTATTGAAGTCAAAGGAAAGAAAAATATGAAGTTAAAAAATACTACTTTGCATAATTGATAATAATATTGTGAATGTACATTTCAATATTTAGTATTAGGATGTTAATGAACAACAAAGTGGGTGTCATCTATGTTCCTTAATAGCCCCAAAACAAGGCAAAAACAAGTTACCATTACTATAGAAATGCTAAAATCACCCTATCTGTCATAGTCATTTAAAAACACTAATCTCTTTTCTTGTCAACTTGCTAGTAAAGATAGATAAAAATTTAACAGCAGAAATTTAACAGATTATAAATATTGATTACAGAACAAGTTTTAGGATCACTTTATTGATACTCCTTAGTTCAACTTTCCTTTTTAATAATCCCAGAACCAAGCTGGTCAAGTTTTTTTACAAGACTTTTCTTCTTTCTACCTGATAATTACTAAAGTGATCCTTGTAAGACTCTCTCCATCCTGAAACACAGTTCCCCATAGAGGAGATTATAAAGAACCCTAGGGACAGAAAATATGGTCACAAAAACTGGGATAAGAGATTGGAATGGAGTGTTCTGAAGTCTAAAGTTATTTATAATTGAAAAGAAAGAAAAGTAAGGGCTGTGTGAAGATGAGGTAGGTGAAATTCTAGATATGTAGTAAAGGACAAAACTAAGGTTTCATTCCCTTAGTGAAACAAGAAGAAAGAAAATTTGACTATAAAATTTCAAACTGAGTTAGATATCAAAGGGCATTTACAAATCCACTAAAAGATAATTTGGCAAGAAAGTTTTTAGGTATTTGTCACAAATAATGTGACAAAGAAGCTCTTCTATTTTTCCTTCTCCTTGTTTCTTGGCAGGATGGCATTGTATAAAGTAGAACCTAGATTTGATCTGAAATTACCTTCATGTTAATGTAATGGGTAAGATGAGGCAGCAGCTTTATTATATACCATGCCAAACACAAGAAAACAGTACATATTACTCAATATGTACCTTTTTTGTTTGTTTCATGTTTTAATAAAGTCTCTATATGCCATGTTTTAGAGACATTTTGAGTTGGTATGTAGCAACTATTCTGATGCTAGAGTTTGTGATCCTCACAGGCAGGAAAATGTGTATTATAATCAATTGTTGGTTATCATAAATGCAGTTAAACTTTTACTTTGTCTTTTAGCATTTTAGTGTTTGGATGACATTCAGATAATTCCTAAGATTTAAAAATATATGTAATTGGGGCGCCTGGCTGGCTCAGTCGGTAGAGCATGTGACTCTTGATCTCAAGGTTGTGAGTTCAAGGCCCATGATGGGCATGGAGCCTACTCATAAAATACATAAAATAATAAAGTAAAATAAAATAAAATACAAAAAATACATAATTGTCAGTAGTAAAATATGTTCCCTTCGAGAAACTGAAATTGATGTCACTCTTCTTTGTTTCCTGATCTTAATTTTAGCTTATGTAGTAGACATTTTAGATTTAACTAAATGCTTTTTGCAGCACTTTAGTATTTTCTATTTCTGGCTTTTTAGTACATGTTTTTCCTCTAATGCCTTCTTGTGCACTAAAATGGTATTTATAAATATAAACATATTTTAAATTTCTCTAGATATAATGTTGCTTTGTTTCTTGTCTATAATTAATAGATATATTTTATTATTCTCTCAGTTATTATTTTATCTGATTGATAGAGCAGAGAAAATTGAATATAGAAAATACTTGCGGTGAAATTATCCAAATTCTAGAATTAAAATTACCAGGTTTATCCATACAGACAGGTAAAATCAAACACAGGGTAATCAAGGGCACAGATGCATTTTAAAACTGAATGCAGTCTTGTAAATAAATGAAGTTCTAGAAACTACACAAAACAAAATAAAACAACTTACTGCTCAACCTTTTAAAAAGCTTAAATATTAACCTGCCATCATTAACTCAAAATGAAATACTGCCTTAATGAACACCATTGATGTAAAATTACTCAACATATATATTTCCCATCCACTAATTTAGCTTTTCATGAAGTTCAAGATATTTTCCATGTATGCAAAGGAACTCTGTTGTATGAGAGAGAATTGAATCAAAATAAAATGTTTTTTAATAACATTCATTGAATTGAATATTTATTAACTGCCTATTATATAGGAAGCACTGTGATTATTTGGATAAATACGATTTGCTTATCCCAGGGAGAGTCCACGTTGAGGATAGATGTACAGGACCTGGTCTGTAAGTGTTCCATATGTCTATATTTCATTTTTAAATATTATTTTGTGCTTTGGCCATCAATATTCTATTGAATAAAACAAGTTTTGGTGAAAGAAGGGACCTCTTAATGTGTCATATGGGTTACCATTCTTTTGAAGTTAAAACTTGCAACCAAATTTAACTCTAGAAGCATCTGGGGAGAATGTATTTTTTTGTTTAATTTATTTGACAGAGAGAGTGAGAGAGCACAAGCAGGGGGAACAGTAGAGGGAGAGGGAGAAGCAGGCTCCCCGCCAAGCAGGGAGCCCGATGCGGGGCTCGATCCAAGGACCCTGAGATCATGACCTGAGCCGAAGGCAGACGCTCAACCATCTGAGCCACCCAGACGCCCCGAGAATGTGCTTTTATGTGTGTTATTGATAGCAGAGGCTCAGCTTGGGTTTATCTTTGTTTACATGATTTTTTTCCCTTTTTCCCTTTTTCCCTTTTCATTGGTTACAAAGATTGTGGATAGCTCCCTTGCTGTGCCAGGATTTCTATACAGTATCAGAAAAATTTCTTGTTCTGCGGGGAGGGGTGTTTTGCTTTGATAAATTGTTGTTCAAGGGTGTGGTCACTAAAGTGAATGATTGTTCAGGGAAGTAGGTTGTAGAAAAAGGAATGAGGTCATAGGATAAAGAGGCTCATGTTTTCAGCTTTGGTCAGCTCTTTTATGCTTGAAGTTAAATAAAGCTATAGAAATTGTGAGTGCAACTAATTGGGTAAAAATGCCCATGCCAATTGTCTCTTTTTTAAGGGAGGTTTGATAAATTGCTGGGCCTGTTTTCAGGCCATGACACTCACAAGCTGTCCTTGTGTGTCTATGTGACAAGGTGGGGAAGGGAGGCAGGGCAAGGGGAAAGGAGGTGAACTGGTCCTTTAACTGCTGTGATCCAAATTTCTTTTCTTGACAACTCATGGTAAAACAACTGGGATATTTGCGATGCTCTTAAATCCCATTTATTTTTATTTAATTTTTTTTATTTGACAATAGTTGGCACACAATGTTACATTAGTTTCAGGTGTACTACATAGTAATTCAACTTCTCTATACATTATGCTATGCTCACCACAAGTGCAGCTACAATCTGCCCTCATCCAACATTATGACAATATCATTGACTATAGTTCCTGTGCTGTGCCTTTTATTCCAGTGACTTATTCATTCCATAACTGGAAGCCTGTATCTCCCACTCCCCTTCACCCGTTTTTCTTTTTTAAAGATTTTATTTATTTATTTATTTATTTGAGAGAGAGAGAGAGAGAAACAGCATGAGAGGAGAGAGGGTCAGAGGGAGAAGCAGGCTCCCCGCTGAGCTTGGAGCCCGATGTGGGACTCGATCCCAGGACTCCGGGACCATGACCTGAGCTGAAGGCAGTCGCTTAACCAACTGAGCCACTCAGGCGCCCCACCCATTTTTCTATACCCTCACACACCTTCCCTCTGGCAACCATCAGTTTGTTCTTTGTATTTATAGGTCTGATTCTGTTTTTTGTTTGTTAAACCCCATTTAAAAGTGAAAACCTTTGTAAACAAGTATATTTGAGCTAACTTTTTTTTTCTACACCAGCAGGTATGGTAATATCATCTTTTTTTTTTTTATTTCCAACAGAGCATATATACTTCTAGTTTTTAAGGACAAAAAGCATATACTGCAAAGAGACTGTATACTTTATTTTTTCTCCTAGTTTCCTTCAGGAAAAGAGAAAGAATGAGTCTCTTAAATGAGGGATTTCCTTTGGGGGAAAGGAATGAGGGGAAGAAGTTATATTTCTAATACATTCTAGTACATTCTATTGCTTTCTTAACATGAGAACAGAATCATAGATTTTATCCTAAATCAAGGAAGTGTTTGTTTCATCTAAAAAAAAAGATCATTATAATTTATATGTTTCATCCTGTACAAAGTTCAGAACAATATTGAACAATAACCTAAGGCAGGTGTTTAACCATGTTATTGGCTTTGAAAGGTTTTAACAAAAGCATCTTTTAAACTATTCAGAGAATGTATTCAAATGGCAGTTGGCCTTGGCAAATTCTGTCAGCATAAATGTCAGTTGGTATTTAAAGATATTGCCTCTTTTGAAGCTGTTAGTCCTAAACTGTTATTAAGTCGCTATTATTACTTTCAGTGATTCTCATAGTCATTTTAAGACTCCTTCTTGGAACATTATATTATTTATTAGTTTTTTAAAGTTTTAAAGTTCAAATTAGAAAGTTCCATGGTCATTTCAACAAGTTTCCAAATATTTAGAGAACAAAGTCCTATGCTGTGTATGTAATCTCTATTGCTTAATTCTCATTCCCAGCAATCTTGCCATCTCTCCTTTATTTATTGCACCAAAGACTTGAACTCTTTGATAAGAGTTATCAATAGTAAATAAAAGCTAATAGGTGTTGGCTACAGAGGTTCCTATTTTGCAGAGTATAAAGATGAGTCACAGAAAACACTGTGTGGAGAAAATGCCCATACAAATGAATCTATGGGGAATGGCTCATGGAGAGCTGCAAATAATAAATGAGCAGTGATGAGGTAGACTTTAGCAGAGCCAAACTATGAAACAATCTAGTGTAGTGGCTAAGAGTGTAGGTTTACATTTTAAACGTCTTGGGTTTAATTCCTGGTTCAGGGTCATGCTAGCTATAGGTATCAGTTACTTAATTAGTAAAATGGGACAAAAATACCTAGCTCATAGGATTGTTGTTAGAGTCAAATTCGATAACACATTATGGAAAACACACAGCATAGTGTCTGACACATAGTATTAGTGTCATAGAGCCTAGAATAAATTTTGACCTCTCAGGACCTCAGTGTCCTCATTTGTAAAGTGGGGTCAGTAATACCTTCCTTCAGGATTTTAGTGAGTATTAAATGAGATAACATGTGAAGGTGTCGAGCCCACTGTCTGGACACTCAATAATTCTTTCCATTTTTATAATTGCTTTATCAAAATATAGCCAACAAAAGCCCCTAGTTGCACAGACAAAATAGGATAATAGATAACTAATGAACAGGCTATAAAGTAAGAGAGTTCTTTTAACACTGGAAAGATTAGGTAAAGATGTATGTTTGAAAGGCTTATTAGGGTTCTACTAGCTAAGAAAGACTAATGAGGAAAACCATTAACGCAATTTTCTAAAACTCATGGTATAGGATCAAAAGACTGGAACAGCAGGAATGTATTTATAATGTTTACTGGCATAAGTATCCTTTAGAAAGAGTAATTTGGAAGTTCCCATGCTCTTAGAGTCTTTGAACTTGAACCTTAATATTTGAGATGGAGTTTTTTTAGTTTGTGCTTTTTTTCCTTTTGAAAATGCAGTGACACTGGGCATTAAAGCTTGTTTGCTGTCTGCCTCTTACCTAATTTTTCCTCTAGAGCTACACTTCTAATAGAGTAGCATGTGGCTATTTTCATTTATATCTAAATTAATCAAAATCAAATAAAATTAAATGTTCTGTTCCTCATTGCATGAGTCACATTTTGACTGTTCAACAGCCATATGTAGCTGGTGGTTACTGTATTGGACAACACAAATGTAGAACATTTCCACCATTGTAGAGTGTTCTACTGGACACTGCAAATCTATACATTCAGGCTGCTCATTTGAAGATAGAATTACCTCTAAGATCATCACATTCAAGGAAATTTATGGTGGTACAAATGTGTGATCAAAGTGCTGCCAATTTATATGATCAGCTATAATGGGTAGATAAACATGAAATAAAAAAATGAAGCTACAAACTCTCAAAGTTTTAAGTTTAGAGTAACTATTTTAGGAGAAAGAGAATTAAATTCATAAACTTTTAAAAAAGAATTAAATTCATAAGTCTAAATAAAAGATTTTTATGTATGTATATATCCTTCTGTTTATATGATTTTCCCAGAGCCTCACTTTTTGGCAGAGCAAATGGTTAAGAAGAGGAAAAAGACGAAAAATGACCTTCCTCAATCAAAATGGATCTTTCTTTCTTTTGGGCACATGATCTGTTTTTCATAACCTCTCTGCAACTACCTATCTCCCTTAACCTACTGAATTAATTTTAAACTTCAGTAAGTAAAGTTCAAATATATTCTCATTTTTACAGATGTGGTAACTGAAGCACAGAGATGTTATATGACTTACTAAAGTTCATATAGCTAGTATGTGGTAGAACTAGGATTTAAATCTAGCAGTCTAGTTCCAGGTCTATGCTTGTAACCTCCATGCTATGCTATATATTCCTGGTCTACACATTTGACTCTTATTTATGTTACACAGTAACATCCGATATCTGATTCCTATTTTCACTTCTTGATCATGTATATGCTTCCATTATGAACCACTTATAATCTTTTGACACAAGCCAGGGCATAAATAATAGTGTAATGAACATTTCAAGGTGTTAAAAGTTTGTTATTTACCAAGAAGGCAGACATTTTTTGCTGCTGTTCAGAACTCTTTTTTTTAACATTTTTCTTATAAATTGTATTGATTGTTTTGTATCAAAATATATAAGGCTCCAGCACCGGGTAGTAAGTTGATAAATTTTTAGTTATTTAAAAATTCATAAATGCTTTAGGAGAACTTTGATAGAAAAATATTATGAATAAATAAAATCAACTTTTACCTTATTGTGGGATTTATAATCTCAGCTATAAAATGTCATTTACTTTGTAGTTCAAAATATTTTCGGGGCGCCTGGGTGGCTCAGTTGGTTAAGCGACTGCTTTCGGCTCAGGTCACGATCCTGGAGTCCCTGGATCGAGTCCCGCATCGGGCTCCCTGCTCGGCAGGGAGCCTGCTTCTCCCTCTGACCCTCCCCCCTCTCATGTGCTCTCTCT